ATTGCCCAAAGCATCACACTGCATCCACCGGCTTGCCTTCTTCCCATAGTGCATCCTGTGTTCCCCACGCACCCAGCCATCCATGTGATGTAAAAAAAATTTGATTCATCAGACCAGGCCACCGTCTTCTATTGCCCCATGGTCCAGTTCTGATGCTCACGTGCCCACTGTTGGAGCTTTCGGTGGTGGACAGAGGTCAGCATGGGCACCCGGACTGGTCTGCAACTATGCAGCCCCATACGCAACAAACTGCGATGCACTGTGTATTCTGAGCCTTCGCTCCCCACATGCATCAATAAGCCTTGGCCATCCATGACCCTGTCGCCGGTTCACCACTGTTCCTTCCTTGGACAACGTTTGATAGCTACTGACCAAACTACGAACCTAAAAACCTAAAACAGACGCTTTCTATCCCCTGACAATATAATTTCAGTTTTAGCTCTTTATTAATCTTGTTTTGAGAGTAATACTGTTTTTGTTTTATCAACAGAAAATATAAAACTCCACTGATATGACCATTTTCTACAATCCGTTTCCTTGAATGCTTGATAACTTCGAGATCTGCCGAATAAAAAAATCTTTAATCCATCTAATTATTTTCCTATTAACACCAACTCTCCTGTATTTAATTATCAGACCTTCTTTCCACATCATATTAGGGGTGACACCGAATAGTCGAAGATTCGATGCTTCGATAGGAGGAGCCTGATTCGACTACCAATCTCACAGTCGAATATTCGCGGGGTGTTATAATTGTGCCATTTGGCTATATGGGGGTGCTCAAATGTCTGATTTCACATAGAACTACTGGTTTTCTCCCAATAATTGAATATACAGCCTATTAAAATAATGCTGTAAATAAGAATCTGAAAAGAAAGAAGCTTAAAATAAATATTTTAACATGCGTGAATAAATCCAACCACCCCTATAGATTTAAGTTTCACTTTCCATAATCCTGATCGTTTTTTGATATCGGCCTTTTTAGAGACCGCCGATCAATCATCCCAAAGCGATTAGCGGCCGATAGTGATCCGTAGCCGATCAATCGGAGCACCCCTATTACTCACCATGTGATGATAGAGGCCCCAAAAATATTTGGTAACTACATTTAAGGTTTTTTGTTGTTGTTGTTGTTTGCTGTTCAAAATTATTTTTTTAATTTATTAAGACTCATGCTTCTTGTCTATTTGTTAAAATTCATAGCTCAGACAATATCAGTGAAGAAGGGGTGGGAGGGTGAGAGGAAACAATATTAAGACATGGAGATCGAAGTATAGAAGATGAAGTTGTGAATGATACATTGAATTTGCTATTTAAAATAATTAAACAATGCACTAAGGAATACTATATCATCAGCACCAGATAAAGATTAATTATGTTATATAATGATATGTAACTTAAGTGAATCATCTAAAAATATACTCTTGAAATTATATAATACAGTGTGGGAATGTGGTAAATTGTCTAGCTGCTGGAAGGACGCGATAGTAGTACCGATACGTCAAGCAGGGAAGGAAGGTAACAGTTCAAATGACTACAGGCCAATTGCTATAACGTCTCATAATGGAGAAAATGACTAATCAAAGATTAACAGATTACACAGAAAATAAAGGATATATTTTAAATTATCAAAGTGGATTTAGAAAAGGTAGAAGTACCATGGATCTTACAGTATGTTTAGAATATGAAATAAGGAGAGCACAGATTAATAATAGTGGCTGTTGTCATGATCTCTAGCTGGAGTGCCCATGAACTCCACCAGAGGGCACTCTACCCCTGACTCTTGCCACGCTCACAGACTACATTCCCCATAATCCTTTGCCTGGACTCATCATCACTTATTGCAGTCACCTGTGTCTTGTTACCTCCATCAGTCACACTATAAAGTTTGCACTCATCCACACACACTTTGCTGATTATTGATAGCCTGTTACGTCTTTGTGTTTTCCCGTGTTTCCAAGTTCCTTGCTGTCTTGCCTTGCCTTGTGTTTTGACCCTGGACGGTTTACCCTGGATTATGATTGTTTGTCTTTTGGATTACTCTTTTTGTCTCTTCCTGGATTATACCTGTTTGCTGTTGATTGACCCTGCCTGTTTTGACCACTCTTGTAAATAAAGCCTGCACTTGGATCCTCAACCCCGTTGTCACGTCTCCACCTTACAGCTGTGTTTTTAAATACTGAGCAAGCATATGATATGATGTAGGGGTGTCCCTGACTAAGGATTTTCATAGTCAAATCGGAATGTTCGAATCTTGCCGATATTCGACTGATAGTCGAATCATATGTTTTGGGGGCGGGGCAAAATACATTACCAAGAGTCAAGTCAGACATTCGACAGCCATAATTACATTAACACACAGGGAAAATGTTTAAGGACGCCTCGCAGATACAAACGGGGTAAATAATGTTTTATGTTTTGATTAAAAGATAGTTAACATTAAACGTCAGCGAAACCCTAAGAATTCACAACACTTTTTACAATAGTGCTCTCATTATAACGTTATGTATATGACAGTAGTTATTATGCTCTGCATTTCTGTTTTGAGCTGCGGGCTGAAGATGACCAGTAGAATTAAGCAGCAGGTTTTTAATCAATGGGATTTAACTCATCATTTATTTCATATAGAATACGCTTCGTTATTTATACAACATAACGTTAATATTAAGACTTGTAGGCTATCTGCACAAAATGCCCCAAATGCACGAACGTGTCTGTGCGGCTCTGAATGAAGGTGGAGGCGTTCTTCACGCAACAACGTGCAGAAACACGGCAACTAAACTCTAAAAATTCACAGCGTTTTATTATAATAGTGTTCTCATTATAATTATGTATATGACAGTCCCAGTCATAGTTATTAATATTCTGCATTGTTGTTTGTCCTGCTCGCGCTGAAGTACTACAATGAAGCGCTTACTGCAGCGCAACTCAACCAAATGCATCTTATACGAGATAAATAATATATACACATATATATATATATATAAACCGGCTGAAATGTTTTGAAATCACTTGTGCCCTACCTGATCGAAAAAATCCAGTCTTTCACTCTGCCTGTGTCAATTTGTGTCTTGTTAAAGTTTTAAATCCCTGTCACCAAAATGCTCTTCTGTTGGTCACGGATTATGGAAAGTGAAACTTAAATCTATAGGGGTGGTTGGATTTATTCACCGTCACGCATGTTAAAATATTTATTTTAAGCTTCTTTCTTTTCAGATTCTTATTTACAGCATTATTTTAATAGGCTGTATATTAACTTATTTGGAGAAAACGTCTCAGGTTACTTATGTGACCATGGTTCCCTGAGTAGGGAACGAGACACTGCGTCCTCTAGGTGAAATCAGACATTTGAGCACCCCCATATAGCCAAATGGCACGATTATAACACCCCGCGAATATTCGACTGTGAGATTAGTATTCGAATCAGGCTCCTCCTATCGAAGCATCGAATCTTCGACTATTCGGTGTCACCCCTAATATGATGGGGAAAGAAGGTCTGATAATTAAATACAGGAGAGTTGGTGTTAATAGGAAAATAATTAGATGGATTAAAGATTTTTTTATTCGGCAGATCTCGAAGTTATCAAGCATTCAAGGAAACGGATTGTAGAAAATGGTCATATCAGTGGAGTTTTATATTTTCTGTTGATAAAACAAAAACAGTATTACTCTCAAAACAAGATTAATAAAGAGCTAAAACTGAAATTATATTGTCAGGGGATAGAAAGAGTCTAATGTTTTAGGATTTTAGGTTCGTAGTTTGACTAAAAACATTTAAAATACACATTGAGAAAATTATTGGTAAATGCAAACAAATACAGAATTTAATGAGGTGCTTGGTGGGCAAAGACTGGGGGAGCTGAGAGGTTGGCTATGAAAATATGAACAATATTGAACTAATACTATCAACACTTGATTATGGATGTATAGTGTTTCAACCTGCTGCCACCAGTGTGCTGAAGTAATTTGACAACATTCAATATAAGACATTAAGGTTATTAACAGGGGCTATAAGATCTACAACTGCAGTATACAGATTGAAACAGGAGAAATGCCCTTAGAATACAAATGACATTAAATTACTGGTTCAGTATACAAGGACATAATCAAGATCATCCAAAATCCACAATAAAATAATGCTGAGAGAAAGAAAAGATGGAAAACAAAAGTACCTATAAAGTAATAAATGGAAATAAATTAATATTCTGTAAATCCAGCAGTATGGTCAGTAATTCCCCAATAGTTAATACCACAACCCACATGACACTGTTAGAAATCCAAAACAACAGTTATGTTCATGTATATTAAGATGCATCAAAACATATAGAAAATATAGTAGGTGTTGCATTCACAGGACCAGATTTTAATGTCAAAATCAATTAAAGAATGTCAGACTATTAGTGCAATCCTAATGGCATTACAGTGGGTTAAGGAGAATAGACCACAGAGACACTTATATGTTCTGACTCAAAATTATCTTTAATGATATTAGAAACAGGTACAGAATCAGAGCTGATATGCTGATTGAGATCCTTCAGACAATATACAGGATTGATAAAATGCAGTTTTTAATTAAACAACATGTGAAGGAAAACATGAAGATGGTTTTATAAAGAAATGTTGGTAAAGGTAGAATAACAAGGAGAAATAGAAATAAAGAAAATTTCTAGACTTAGATTTTGACATATTGCAGTTAATAATACCTTGAATAAAATAGAGAAACATTAGACCATAGCACCTTATGATATAGGCTGTCCAAATAACAATTAAAGAAAGTGATTGATTTCCAACTTTAAAAATTAAGATGAATTTTGAGTTGACAAACATTTTACTTTAAGGAGTTCACATGATGAATGATTTAATTTTTCAATGCAGTATCTGCAAAAGACAGTTAAATTCAGAAATAAGAATTAAGGAGCTAAAATGAACAAGGTTGTACGAGACTCACACTACTACCCAGCAGGTGGCGGTAATGCACCTGAAAGTTGTGAAATAAAATATTAAGAAGAAAAAAGCGGTAGCATGAACGCATGGTGTACTGTTTTATTGAAGCTTGTTCACTCACTGTTGGTTTTGGAAGGACATAATGACTTCATCAGTGTCAAAGGTAATATTGAGCAGACATGCATTAATCCTTACGTGGCTGAATTAATCGTATTTGTTGAGAATAATTATATTAATACATTTATGATACATATATAGCCGACACATAATGACACATATCCAGACTTATAGATGGTGTTTTTCAGGGATGTTTTGTTTTTAAGTCAGCCTCCAAAAAGAGAAAGCGACATATAGGAGTTGGTGAGTAATTATTATCATTATTATCACTTTACAAATACTTATCATCATTATCGAGCATCTTCGTTTTATTTATTTGCATGTAGGTGGATATTTGGTGGATGATAGTGACGATAACGGCAGCGATCGCTTTAGAATCTGTCAGAAATTATAGGAAACGGTTCAAATGAACACAGAGGTACATCCTCCTCTGCGTCTGCAACCGCTTTGTCTAATTCATTAATTTGGTTCGTTTAATACGTTTATGTTCCTTGATAAATATATATCTTCACAGGTAATACAAGATCGTTGAATAAAAAGGTACTTGACAGTCTTGCAGAGTTCATTAAAAAGCATGGGCTCGGCTGCTCATCTGATGTCTGGAGACAGAGCCAGTGAAATCCCCACAGCTGGTCTAATGCTGGGTATGGCCTGATTCTTATTCAAAGATTTTCTAAAACGTTTTTTTTTTTTTTTTTTTTTAACTCAAGGG